ATAAGAAGATAGTAAGGTAAAATTTTATATATTTATTTGACGGAATATATCGATAACGTTAACTTTATAAAATATGAAATAAAATATAATATTCAATGACATCATATCTATGTATTAATTTAGGTAGGAAAAAGACAATAACTTATTTCTTAATAGCATTCACTTCCTGAAACTCTTTTCATATTGGAAACAAGTACAGAAATGTTGGTGAGGATACGTATTTAATTGTGTAATAAATTGTCATGACAGTTTATAAGATACTTGCTTTTGACCGTGACTTTGTCCACGTTAGTTTCATAATTGCAAATGTGTAGCTGAAAAGGCAAACAATTTTCTTTTAAGAGACAGGAAATAAACAGATTTTCGATCTTATAAGCAAAATTTCTTTTTTGATCGACCGAATTCAAAAGTGTCCTATGTCCGTCTTCTGATTCCACTCTAATACCCCACCAATTTCCAACTAAATCCGTACAGCCGTTTTTAAGTTATAAATAGTGTTAGTTACATGATTTATAACTTTCTTATGATATAGTTAAGTTAAATACGAGCACTCTTTTCTTATAATTTTCAATTACATACTTTATCTTACATATATCTTTCTTTTATTAAATATTATTTCTACATTGCCTGTTTTGCATATCTAATCAAAAAACCATCGCTCATAATACGAATGTAATCGAAGTTACTTTCTCATTGGTCTGCATTATTTTTATTATAATGAACATCAACCATGGCCAAACTTTCCGGACCCATCATTATTTATTAAGGCCACACCACTTGTTTATTTTCCATTGATGTGACCCCAATTTTTCTATGATAGAAAAAAGTTATCAAATGGATTTCTAACCGTCAAACCAAACTATATAAAGATAAGCCTGTGTTTTTAAGTATTTCATGTGTATAACCAATATAATAAATACTTAGATGAAAGTTAAATATGACAAGTGAATTAATCACTTGTCTCAGATCCTCATCTGTGATTTGTATGGTATCTATAAATTCTGTAGACAATCTCAATTCAGTCGTAGTGTAATCAATCTTAATGATTTCACTTCATAGTATCAGCGTATTGTTATTTTAATATAATAACATTTTTTTCTTCTACAGCCATATAAAAAGACACAAGATTGTTTTATATGAAGTTAACCAAATATATACGTAGATTACTATTAAAATTTTTAATAAAACAGAAAGTGGCGGTAAATCAAAAGTGATGTTGCTTTTAGCGATTTAGCAATGAAATCTTTTATTACTGGACTGAAATGAATTTTTTAAAGTTCATCCATTGAAAAAGCACACAATACTGATTGCTAATTCAACAATACCATCAACGGTCAAAGAAATAACAGTTAATTTGTATTAACAGTAAATAGCTACAGTGCATTATTCGCATTGTCATCTCGTCAGAAGTATGTATAGCCATCGGAGAAAGTGGTGTCCGTTTAAAGAGAACTGAGGTGCCTCTCTCGAGGCCAAATGAAGAACAGGTTTCGTTATCTTACGTTTGGTTCCGTTGAAGTAAAAGTTTGTATTATTTTCAAACGTACATACATGCGTTTTAATGGAAGGTTATGTGAATATTTTAACAATGCACTATCTAAAATTAAATACCATTGACATCAATTTAATTGACTGCAGGTATTTTGTAGTCATGTCTATTATTTTATTTCTTTCTTTGAAACGGTATTTTACCCTTTTTTTAAAGAAAATAAAATGTTTTTTAACATTTGAGTCAGCTTGAAATTTTTCTTCTATGATATCATAGTTTTGTTATTTATGAAAAACAATGTCCCATTTTACAGTATGATTTTGAGTTCTACAAAGAGTTATATTGTTTTTTAAGAGCAAAAAATGTTGAACTATAATTATATTTCAATATGAAAGTAACACGTAAGAGAAGGGCATGGGCTACTTATTGACACAAAAATCTTAAACCGAACGATGCCGCGAGCATGAGCTAGTTAAATATATTTTTCTCAGTGCCATAGCGGTTGCAGTGAAAGTATTGCATGTTCATTCTCGAAAGATCTTACCTTCAAAGGCTTTCATATGCTGTCTGTATACTGCGATCTTAGAAAAGGTAATTGCATACAACATTACTGAATAAGATGACCAACGATGATATAAAATGAAAATGCTATCTCTAGTTTTATTTAAAACTAGTTTTTGCCCGCGACTTCGTCCGCGTTAATTTCGTCATTAGTAATATAGGTATAGCTGACCGGGCAAACTCTATTCCGTCTTCAATAAACCGGTATTGGTATTTATTAAATTTCTACTGTTTCAATCGAACAGAATGATTGACATATTAGTTGTCAAGTCTAATGTCAAAAAATCGTTTGTATGGGAAATGGAAAAGGGCTGTTTTTAGGGTTTTCCCGGCAATTTTTCCAATTTTTTTCACCTTTTAAACCTTCCCTGTACTTCCAGGAGTATTTCAAGACTAAAGTTAGCCAAATCGGTTCAGCTGTTCTTGAGTTTTAGCGAGACTAAGGAACAGCAATCCATTTTTATATATATAGAAGATATGTTAATTATGCTACTAAATTATCTTATTCCATTTCTTTATTTTTAATGGTTTTTAAAATTCTAATATTTTTCTTATATCGGCAATAAAAGAGGAAAGTCATTAAACTATAGAAGTAAAATATAGGTTTTTTTAAATTTATTTCATGAAAATATTAAATCATCTTTATTAGTTAAATAAACAAAAGCAATTCTGGTTCAACCAACAAATGGAATTAAAAAACAGATTCGTGATTGAGTAATGTAAATAAAAGTTAAAGTTAGAAGTTTAAAATAAAAATTAAAAAAAAATTAAAATACCTCAGACACTTTTAATTGAATATAGTGTAAAATAATATTTTACAATGCGAAGTTGAAGACATTTTTCTTAATTGTTCTGTGTAACTCTTATAATAGCAAATTCCTTTAATTTTTGTTTTTCATATTATTTTAAATTTTATTCAAATCAGAACATAATGAACATTTGGTTGGAATTTATAATGCTTGTCTATAAAATATGGTTTTGATAAGTAAACATACTGAAAGAATTAACAATCACAGATAAGAATTATTAATAAACTACTACATAAACTATTTATTTCTAATATACTTATATTTAGTAGTAGAACTTAGTTATGGTCAAGTCATAGCTCGGAAATGGGCTGGATGATGGCTCGACCTGGGAAGTACCACCCTCTAACAGAAGATCGGCGTGAAGTAGTCTTTAATGGCTGCGTTTCGTCCGATGTGTGAGATAGCTGGTTGCCCATTCCTGTTTTCTATCCTTTCCTCTCCTTTTCCCATAATAAAGGTCAGCAACGTATATGCAATATGTATCCATTCCATTAGTTAATCCGTTTGCCGCCATTGAAATAGAAAAGTACGTATATGAGTATTGTATAAAACGATAAAATGTTTCTAAGAATCTCAGATGTTATGTTAGTATTTGCATAGAAAAAACATCAAAGCACTTTCGACTTAAATCAAATTTTATTACATTATATGTGTATTTTAAGAGACGTATAAAATTCATGGTTGTTAAATACTTTATCATTTATTATTGTCCATATTTAATTTAATTTAATTTAATTGAACCTTACCAAAGGATTATGGTTTTAATATTATATCATTATATCTAAGTACATACATATATTCCATGTATTCTTATAAGTATTCAGACACAAAGCAATTTCGCTTTAAATTCCTATCCGATATTATTGAATCCAATATTATTTAAACGCTTTCGAAATCTGTTGAAGTAAAACATGATTGGAAAATTCCTTTTTTAAACCTTTAGATAAGCAAAAAGTTGTGTTGAATGTATTTTATTATATATATATTAATTAAGCAAGTGATTTTGTCATTATTATCTGTAATATATGAATGTCGGTTGGGAAATTTTATTCCCAATCATCTCTTTGTTGACTAATTTTATCTTAAGCCGCAAAAACCGAACACAGTAGTGTATAATTATAATGTTATGTTGGATTATACATTGTTTTTCATGAGAATTTTCTTTAGATAGGTGTTTTGTACAAGCAGATAAAAATTAGTTTCATCATAAAAACATGATTTGCTATCGATTTGTCAGCTTACAATTATAACTAATAAAAACAAAATGCATAAGAGCATAATAATTATAATTTATTCATAGCAATATATGTATAAGCATATATATAATTATAACTTATTCGACATGACATAATGAATAGAAATCGTTTTACAACTCATTTCCTTGAAGAGAATATATAGAAGAAGATAAAAAAATTATCAAGATTAATTCAAACTTTCAGGAGAAATTATAATTAAATTAAAATTAAGAAGATTCCATTTAAATAATGACATACTATTAGCTTTACGCGCTATGTTAATTACTCAATACTTACACTGTCGATCAGTAATTTACAAAATGGGTCGAATGAAAATAAAACAACAAAAAAATGTAAACGAAATTAAACTTTCTACTTAACGGTGTTTGGATAAACCATTAATCTTTAACACTATTAAAATAAAGGTCAGTTTTCTTTCGCCGTTGTAGATTCAATGAGTGCCATAGTTCTGCATTGAAAGTAAAGAGTTACTGTTACTTTATTATAACCGGGACAAGTTATCACAGAAAGTTACATTTACAGCATTCTAATGACATTTATTTTACGGCTGATCGTATTTTAATAGTCTTTATTCAGGTTGGCTTTTCATTAAACCTTTTTTTCATATCCGTTGTCTTTTTGTAAGCATTATATACTCTTTATTAAGAGTAGGTCATTTTATCGTTTTGTTTTCACTGAAGAATTTAAAGTATGTATCTGTCGACTTTTAATTGAATCGTGTAAAGCGATTTCGCATCTGCATTGTTAATTTAATTATTCATGATAAAATCCAGGACGTATATTTTTCGTGATGACATGAAATTAAAATAATTTATGTATTCTTTATAGAAACTTTAATATGGCAACATAGATTTTTTGTGCAGGTAATAACTTCAGGCGTTAATCATGACTGCATCTGCTTTCCTATACGATCCAACGCATCAAAAAAACCTAGGAGAATTATCTCAATTGGAGCCACCGAGACAAAGAAGAGATTATGAGTAGGTAGATCTAATAATACTGAAATAGAATATAAAATTAGACAAAACTTTTTTTAGTATATTTCAATAATGTAAAAAAATATAGTTTTTTATCAGTAGCACCAAAAAAATATTAAAAGATAAAAAAATTTCGTTGACGATAGCAGTACACATTCATCTCGTAATACTAAAATGACGTGTTTTCAGTTCATTCATAAAATTTGCACATTATCATATTGTGGTAGATTATTGAATAAAGGACGGGAAAATGTGTTAATTAAGAGACAACTAGAAATTGTTAATATTTCACGTGATAAGGGGAAATAAAAAATGCCTTTTGCCTTGCCTATAGCACATAGAAACTCATAATGTAAAGTAAGTACCTACTGTAACAAGGAATAATTATATTTTTCCAGGTGGCAAATAGTATGGAGGAATGTTCTGGCATTCGTTTACCTGCACATGGCAACTTTGTATGGAGTATACCTGATATTAATCGGCAAAACAAAAATTCTTACGTTAGTATTTGGTAAGTAGTATACTTTATTTAAAAATTAGCTTTAAATATTCCTATCGTTCAAGTAATAAGACTTACAAAAGTAATTGGTAAACTGATTTCATATGTACAGAAATTTAATAGCAACTTGCATAGTTTTCGTTTTGAAAGACTTCTTACTATAGAAAATTAATTTTATATGTTTAATACCAAGATTAAAATATACAAATATTTTTGATAAGGTTAAAGACCGTTGTCATAAACTTATGAGTTCTAGGTCTTGCTTAAAACATTGAAATTATTTTGCCCACAGACAATTTTACTAAATTTGCTGATTTTAAATTATTTCTCGTATGAAATGTATGTTGAAATTGAATAACATTTTACATATAAAGATATGGTTTTGATTGTAATGTTTAATTAATGAGAGATAAACTTTGGCAGCTGTTGATTTAAATGCAACTAATATTTCTCGTATTAGTACACGTATTTTACTATTTAAAAAAAGGTATACTCCTGACATATATCTTATCTACCCGTCATCACGGTTGCTGAAAATTAATCGAAACAACGGGAGTATGTGTATTTAAAAGTAATAAAATACGCCTAATAATATAAAAAAAACAAATAGTTTAATTGTAATTTTACCTATTTTATTTTTATATACACACTATAATTTTTTTTTTGGATATTTTTTTATTTCTAGCTGTGACTATATCAGCGATGTCCGCCATGGGTGTGACAGCAGGCGCACATCGTCTGTGGGCTCATCGTGCGTACAAAGCTCGCTGGCCTCTCAGAATCTTCCTTGCTGTCATGCAGACCATGGCTTTCCAGAACCATATATACGAATGGGTTCGAGATCACAGGTAGTAAACTTTTGTAATATTCAAATTATAAGAACCTTCTGCTATTACTACCTTTTTCCAGTCTTCAAAACTAAGGTACATAATATTTTGTATAACATCATTTCACTTAGTTTATAAAGATCATTTACTTTTCATTTTATCACTACTTTCCAAATATTATAATTAGCCCGTCTAAAGGCAACAATGTACATTTTTGTCGCCGGAGGCTTTATTTAAAAAACGGTATTTCGTTCTCGATTGTAGTTCAATTAAAAAGCAATTTATATTTGCTGATATTAATTATATGCAACGAAATTAAAGCACGTCTTATATTTTTTGTTATTTTAATAGAAATAAAATATATAAGCAGATAATATTTGTATTACAGAGTTCATCATAAATTCACTGAAACCGATGCTGATCCTCATAACGCTAAAAGAGGTTTCTTCTTTTCCCATATGGGCTGGCTCATGGTCAGAAAACACAAAGCAGTCTTCGAGAAAGGAGCATCTGTTGATATGTCAGACTTAGAAAAAGACCCCATTGTTATGTTCCAGAAAAAGTAAGTGAAAAGTTAACGGGTATATGTAAATTTCAACTCATTAAGTAAGATGGGTAAAAAACACTGATACCATGATAAAAATATTACATTCATTTCTTAATATAAATATGAGTTTTTAACGTGTGTTGCCTTCATAATAGTTCATTGATACTAATTGTCGACAGGACATATTTAGTGCTAATGCCGTTACTCTGCTTCGTTGTGCCAGCGTGGTTACCAGTAGCTTTGTGGAATGAAAATCCTTGGGTGTCATGGTACGTGGCTTCAATGCTGCGCTACACTATATCCCTGCATTTTACCTGGCTCGTCAACTCAGCAGCCCATATTTGGGGAAATCGACCATACGACCAGTGAGTGTTTGAAACTTTACACACCCAAAGAAAAAGTTGACTCCAAAGGAAAGGGTTATATAAAAGAAATTATATTTTTGTTTACTTTTACTCATCATTATTAATATATTCAACATAGGCATAGATTATTATTATTTATTGACATTTCTCTTAATGCGACGTAGTAGGCTTCGGAATTAATTTATTTAACCTTGAGTTTATATCCCGAAATCGCAGTGTGACCGAGTGAAAGTTACGATCGTACATAATGCGTATAATTAATTTCGATATCTAAATTTAGGCGTGCCAAAAATATAACAGACTTTTAAAAGACACATCCATATGCATGAATTTATGTAATAATAACTAATATTAACGGTATTTATTTTGAATTTTCTACATTTTAATAACATATTTTTTTTACAGATATATAGGTGCCACTGATAACAAAGCTGTTGCAATTTGTGCTTTTGGTGAGGGTTGGCACAACTATCATCACGTCTTCCCTTGGGACTACAAGGCCGCTGAGCTTGGAAACTATAGCACAAACTTGTCTACAGCTCTTATAGATTTCGCCGCTAAGTATGGTGAGTTAAGCATAAATCAAAATAAATACCAGACGAGAAATCGGAATAGGCTATGTCTGTTATACCAAAACAGTAATAATGAATAGTATAATGAAGGTTTTTGTATAATAAATTTGCATATTATAGTAATCTTTGTCTTGATTTATCAAGTTTTTATTTAATAAGTTAATTTACTTTTAGGTTTAGCATATGATCTTAAGACTGTGTCTATTGAGATGATACGAAAGCGAGTTTCAAGGACGGGTGATGGATCGCATCCTCTGAGCAGTAAGAAGGAGGCATTAAACCAACATGAGCATCACCACCCTGAGAATCCAGTGTGGGGTTGGGACGACGAAGACATGACCGAAGATGAGAAAAAACTAGCAGAAATTGCCCATAAACTAAATTAACAGTTTCAATTTAAATATTAATTTGAACCTAATATTTTTCCTTTTCAATACTGCCTTGGTTTATGAACTAACCAAAGTTGTTTCTACATATGTACATTTTAACGTCTGTAGTTATCGGACAACTTATAATACCTATTATATTTGTGGTCAAAGACTTCAATAATATAGGATTATTTTTTAGTTATTGACTTTAAAGGTCGCTTTATTGATTGTTCCGATCAGATAACTAAAAAGCCTATAGAGGGATCGAGTATACATTGGAAATATTGTCGATGTAAAAGTTGAATTTCATTGAATAGTTTTAAGTATCAATAATAAACATTACTGCTAATATTTCTTTCTAACTCCAGGGGATTATAGACTTATCTTAAATTATTGTAAATATAATTATATGTGATAATAGATAAGGTTAGAAGGGTTTCTTAAAGAAAATAATTTATTTTAAAGAAGTCATGTATTTTATAAATAAGTTAACTTATTTTTTTGGTGTAATTAAACAATAAATATTTAGACTCAAATAAAAATGTGTCTGTGTTAATAAATTGAAGTCAGTGAGTGGTGTTTTATTTTAGAAATTATATAATTTATGTGTTTTGGATGAATGATGTGAAAACACGAGAAACTATTTAGAAAACATGATTTTAAATGACATTTTATAAGTGACGTTGATTAATTTAAAACTATGTTTAAACTCTATTTTGTTAAATTAGTTAAGTGGTTAATTGGTTATCCGCTGGATGCGGGTGGCACAAGACCGGTCGTCGTGGAGATCCTTGGGGGAGGCCTATGTCCTGCAGTGGACGTCTTTTGGCTGAAGATGAGATGATGATGATGGTTAATTGGTTAACCAGATTTTTATGAGAGCTGGGAATTTTATTTGTTACATTGTGTTGTTACATTTTTGAGTTTTATCGGCTTTTATGTTGACCTCAGGTTTGAACGGAATGTATTTTGCATAGAATTTAGCTGGGAAAGGTTTTAGACTCTTTCGTAAATAATTTTGATTTGGTTACGTGATGGAACGTTTTTGGTGAGACTCTCAATAACAATAATATTTTTAAATACCGTCAGGAGTGTATTTATTCTAGCAAGTTAGGAACGATATAAAGACTACTGAACCGGAAGTTGCCTATTTCTTAGATTTATATGGACATGTCACTTATATCTGAAAAGGATAATAGAATGTTTAAAATATTAAGCAATTCCTAATTCTACGTGCAAGATGCCGCAGGAAATAGCTTGTTAAATAATTTTAATAATTAGGATTCATTCTTTATTGAAAATTTTTAATAACATTTTATTAAATTTTAATAACATGTCTTTATTGCCATGAAATTTGGTAAATTGTTTTAAAAGGTTCATTGTCTTCACTTGTCCTTTCAATATTTTTTTAATCATAAAATATAGTTGTACAGTAGTTATAATGAGTCAAAATGTTATAAAAAATTAAGAGAACTAACTTCTAAGTCAGAACATAAAAAAAATAAGAGGTTTCTTTTGTTTCTATATTTTTGTATCTAATTTTTTCAATTTCCTTCTCTTGACTTTAATTTATTTTAGTTTAAACAATAATTTTGTTAAGTCAACAAAGTTTAATTTTATTGATTCATTGTTTATATTGAGCAAATATTTAAGGATACTTACAATAAAGAAATGTATAGCTTTTGTCTATTTCATTTGTTGGATATGAATATTGCAAATAAAAGTTTAAAATTTGGGTAAAAGTAAAATAGATATGTTATAGAAGTTTTTAGGTGGTAGAGCCTAGCTATGATCGGTTACTACAGCTCGAGCATGGGCTGGCTCGACCGAGGAAGTACCACCCTCTCACAGAAGATCGACGTGTAGTAGCCTTTAATGGCTGCGTCTCGTCCGATAAGTGAGAGGGCGTGTTGCCCTTTTCCCATCACTTTCTACTATTTCCTTATTCACACCCCTCCCTATTCCTAAAAAACAAGGCTGGCAACGCATCCTCAACAAAGAAGTTGCGGATGTCCATGGACCACGGTAACCATCTTCCATCAAGTAGGCCGTGTGCTCGTTTGCCACCTTTCGCATAAAAAAAGAATAAGAGAGTGGTCAAAAGTGTCTTTTAGCTTAAATTGCTCTTTTTAAAATATTTACTTTGGTTTAAATTTATTTTTGTATGATCAATACTGTTTAAAATGCTAGAAATTTTATATAGTGCTCCTGACCAAATATTAGAGCAACTACTCAAAAATAATTAATTTGTCACGTCAATAATTGAAATTAGATCTATTACGTTGATTCATACAAAATGAACTATTAAAAGATGTACTTAAAATATTGTATAAAATTAATACATTTTTCATATTATTGTATAACATTTTCATTATAGCCTTATCTCTCTAAAGCAATAATAGTTAAATCTCTAAAGCAATGAGTAACAATTTTAATATGTAGATCAATTTGTACAAGAAATATCTGAAATAATTTACGTTGAGATAAATTGAGAACTTATTGTTATTAAAATAAAATAAAAATAAAAAGACTAAAATATAAAAAAATTTGGAGCCAATCATAACCTTGTTTCACTGTCGTTTTATTTGGTAGACATAGCTATAGACAATTGTAATACTAAAATTATAAAAAGATTTCTTTTTAATACCTTTTACAACGTCCAATAATATTTCGTGATTATTAAAAACTGAAATTAAATATAACATTTTTGTAATTTAGTAGAATCCAATTTTAACAAATACTTTAAATATATAGTAAATTCTTTAAGCCCCTCCTGATGAAATAAAGCAAACACGTCCATCTCCTGATAAAAATTTAAAACAGGTACATAGACCTCTACCTGTTTCTCGTGTCTTAATCCTGCGACTTGTGATATAGTTTCCAATTTTAACTTCATCAGTTTTGGCACATGTTATTACTTTTCTTAATATAAACTGAGTATTTGCTGACTAATTTTCCATCTGATGGTAAATAGGTGGTAATAAAGCCAATGGTCCTAAACGCCCTATGACAGTAATAGCCTATTCCTTTTTATTTTAAGATACCCAATTGAAACATAGAGTCAGGTAAACTGTCCCGTTTCATTACAGTTTGTATGAGGAACTAGAAAGCGTATCACGTTGTCCGGATGCAACGAAAATTTACGACGAAATGATCGAAACTTTCCCGTGTGTCGTGCGATATTAAAAATTGGGTGCAATAAAACAAAAGTGAAATTCATACAAGCATTTATAACCAAAACGTGATCATCAATAAGCCTTTTTGTATATTGCTCAACGAAGTCCAAAGCTGTGATGTTACATTTTGCAGTACTTATGTATTTTGTAGGGATAAAAAAACTCTCCTGTTAGGTAGTACTTCTATGTATGTTCTAATAAGAAATTGAATTTCGAAAAAGTTTGGTTTTTTGGATTACTTAGTTTTTAAAACCTGTAAGAGGGCCGTGTATTACAAAGAAACATTTTGAAAAAGTCGAGTCGACGTGAAAGGATTATTTTCAGAGCCTTTATAACGAGCCATTAACTGATACTTATAGAACACAATCCCATAGGGTCAAGGAACTCCAAGATTTTAAACCAGGAGATATGAAATAGTTAGAAAATAAGTAAACATACATATATAGTTTTTTTTTTTGTAACACATATTATATACATTTTCCTACCCAAATAATATAGCAATTCCTCAGAAAAACGTTTAATTTGTTTTCATAAATTATTAAGTACAAAATATCGTTATTTTGTCAAGTTACTTAAATATATTTTTAATAAATTATGTGCAAGTCCTTCCAGATTTTTTTTTGCTAGATTATACAAGTAATAGGTTTTCAACATGTTTAGAACAAAAATTTTAATTAGAAGTCATCCCAATATTAAAGTCATTATATGAAAATTATACTAATAGAGTTTGTCGAATATCCATATTATATACATATATCGGTGTTAATAACTAAGAATTCATCATTACAAATTTTAAATTAAGAAAAAAATATACAATACATCTGTTTGAGCATTAATCACAACGCTTGCTCAAGACGGTTTGGTGATTTCAAACTCATAATTGTGAAATTATAAGTCCAGCTTCCCTCACGATGGTTTCCTTCACCGTCTTTCAGCGATGTCTAAATACTCACAGAAAGTACATTTGACTTGGAAAAATCACATTGGTACTTGCCAGGATTGAACCCGTGTCCGTATGCATGACAGGCGGGCCTTTAACCACTAGGCCACCACTGACCCTATACACTAATTTTACATATATCTTCATTTAATTATTAATTCTTTGTACATACATACGTTATGTTACTAATATTATTTAAAAAAAAAACATTAGTGATATAAATATACATATATCAAAATAATTTCACAACTGTTCTATAATACATTTTATTTATTTTTGGATTTTTAAGGCAGTAGACATTGAGCATTATTAAAAAATATTACAATATTATATATGCCAATCTAAAAGATCATTGGAAAACGTTATTATCTTCTAACAGTTCTGTGCTACATATAAATGGATATTGTTACCCATACAGATAACCCATTTCTATCGAAACCTGTTACACAGGAAATACACGTTGGGTTTAATTATGAGCTTTCTTGTTGAAACTTGGTTGGAGGTTTGTATTATCAAGAATATTACTCTATATTGCTTCCATGTACTCATTTACTCCATATTTAAAACTCAGTTCAAAACTACAGATAATTTGATTAATTGAAGCCATTATGTACTTATTAGTTAGGATTCAATATTTAGGCAGTGTAATAAGAATAATAAATTTAAAAAAACCTGTTAAAAAGTATAAGAAAACATAATAGAATCTATTAAAAAGGAAAAAAAAACAGATGGAATTTTTAAATGAAACTAATATTTTTCGGATATACTATGCGTGCTTTATTTTTGTAAAAAACTACATGCTCATATTTTTTCAAATAAATATGGATCCATTCCTAACGTTTCATAGAATATAGAGAAAATATACCAATGTATCATAAGCTCCTACTACTTAGCTCTGTAGAAAGCTAAAGGAATTTTGACATGGAAGGAAATGGTTATTCATTATAGATGAACTATGAAGTCCTTAATATTAAAATAAAATATTCATTTTAATATTATCATTTAATGTATAAATATTAATAAAATTTCTCATTACTTTTAATGTATTCTTCCAATGCAATAAAATATCAAGCTTCGCTGGTTCCACAGTTCAATGGAAAGTGAAACAATATGATCCAATTATACTGCAAATTGGTAATAAAAACGATGCGAATGTGAAAACTAGGAAATAATAATAGTTTAATTCTTCCTTAATTACTTTATATAATATATGTTTGTTATAATAAATTATACTTGCAACGAATAAATAATATGTTTTATTTACTAAGAACGGTTCAGTCTCAACTTTTATTCATTTCTATCTAAAACTTCGTTATTATTCAAATCGTCTTGTTTACGCAAGGGATTAAAGAAATTGCCATTGTGACCTAAAATTTGCACATTACGTATTTTTCCGTCTCCTTCACTAACGTTATCTAACCACTGTGGGGTCACTTGATAGTCTATACCGACTGGTTTGCTTCCAACTAGACGGAAATCTTTCGTATCATCAGCGGCGTATTCATTCAAATTGTTGACGAAACTCGTATCAACAACTACATTCGATATCGAACTGCTAATATGTGGATACTTATCATTCACGTAACCTTTATTTAAATAAATCACTTTCTTCTGATATTTATCATTGAATGCATTATTTCTTAGTAGAGTGAACACAGCGCCGGTTAAAGCCATATTATTTAGCATACCCGTGGCAAGGGTCATCATTTTTAATGTCGGCAAGAAGAAAGGCAAGATGGCGGACATCAGTAATCCTGGCAATATCAAAAGCGGCATTATAGCGTAAAATTGTTTGGTGATCTTTTTCATTGAGCTTCTACTAGTGGCCGCCTCGTCATCTGTAATTAAAACAATAACTATACTTCCAAATATTGAATATCGTTTTCACAATTTATAATACAAAATGAAAATGTATGTAAGAATAAAGTTTAGGAAATACCAAAGAATATTTTAACATATTTAATAAGTTATCGTTAGACAGAGAACACGATCAGAAATTCAAACTATTCTTATAATAAACTATGTATAATAATTGTAGAATATTGCTCTGAATCTTTTGCGATATTATTTTAATTATCTTTCTTATACTCAACAACTAACGCTTCAATATACAATACGATATATTACAAAACTATTAGATATTTTGATGAGTAATACAAAATACATTCTTTTCTATATATTACGGGCATAGTTGTTGCAGAAAATGAATACCATCAAAATGAAATAAAATATAGATACTATCTTACGCTTAACGATTTTAAGGTGAAAATTAATGCGAGGTGACGTAGAACTTATAGATTTTAAGTAAATTTCTAAAATTATAAAACTGTTTAATGTCAAAGTTATCACGTAAGATATTATTGAAAAGAAAATGTTTTATATGTATATATATATTGATCAACGAAGTTTCTTTAAGTATTTTTAGCAAAAAAAAACACGAAAGCTGTTCCTATTATAATATTTTAATTTGAACCAAATGTGAGTGGTTCTTCATTACGTGTTAATTAATTATACTGTTTCACTAATGAGAGCTAACTGTTGTTACGTTACTAAGCACGAGTAGAAATATGTGTATATGGTTAAAAAAATAGACTATCCTATTTGTTTCATTAAAAATATGTCCTCCATATATTTAATATATGTATTAAAATTTAAGTTATAAAAATTGTATTGATTTACTTTTTACTAAGTCGATTTTCATTACTCCAGCACTTGTTGTTCCCAATTTCAAAAGGTAGTTATTGTTCAAAGTCATCTCAAGGGACCGCCGTTGTAGAAGGCCGTTGACTCCATTAAATAACCTCTCCGATAGTTCTTCATCCGAAATGTTATAGCGTTGCCAAGGGAACGCCCCTCTGAAGTAGCCTGATCCTTGTAAAGCGCTTTCTGCTCTCCATACTCCGAACCCGTTCACACATTTCGACATACCAATACTTAAGGCACATCTAATAATGGTATCGACATTTGTGCTTGTATTGTATGAATCTGTTACGTTTTCGCGACGTGAATACGGTCTCGCGTAAATAAAACATGACGCGAAAATAAGAATGGCAGCGCATGCGCGCATCGCTGCTAACAGACTAAACAGCGATCGACGCTAGAGTTGCACTGATAGCGTTTATAGAATGGAAAGTTCATTTCCCTTTCTACGATTGATTACACTGAGAAATAACTTATTATTAAATTTCATAACAGCTTACAAAAGCTTGTAAATTGATTGCTATAAGCTATTTAAAGATGTTTTTAGTGGTATCAATATATATTATATACATGGTATGTTGAGGTGTTTCAAACCATAGAAATATTACATATGAAATTAATATATTTAACAACTTGATTCTTTCACTCAATCATTTAAATTACTTTTGATAATTGCGAGCTTAGAACGGCAGTAGCTAAAGCGAATTTCTCCGACAATATAACGTGTATGGTTGTTATATTTTTTGGCGAAAGTCTGCATACTTTTTCAGAAAACAGATCAAAAGCCGAATGCACAACATTAGCATAGACCGCTGTCGGCTCGGTCACGGACAAGCAACGAGCATGTCATCAACCCAGGTTTCACCAAACTTACGTGATACGATTCTTGATACGCACTTAATTATACACGCACGACAAACATAATTTTTCCTAATCATTTCTACGTGTGACAATTAAAAGTGGGAAATATAATGAAGCGGGGTCGAGGAATTCTCACACATTTAAAGCACATTTATTAGATTATATGTGATTATGTGCTTTGTCTGTTACATGGAATGTGAACAAGTGTTATAGAGAACACTACTGAGCGGCGATTTAAATGATATTGTTTATAATTTTATTAATATTTCACACGCTTTAAAAACATTTAGTTGGATAAAATAGTACTAAAGAGTAAATATATTATTTAAATATATCTGAGTTTACACTTACTAAAAATGATTTTGATTTCAAATCTTGTTTATAGATAATTTTGTAATTATAATACCTACTTACCTAAGTGTGTAATTAATGAAATGGTATACAATAATGTTAATGTATACCTATTTATTAAGCACTTTCGCTATAGATAAGGATCTAAGGAAGTCTGTATTGTCCGAGGGGAAATGTGACCGTTAATGATTCGACATTAGTCCTTAGCGGGCTGTCAATATCTGGGTCGATATTTCCACGATTCAATCACGTAGTCCTAAACTTTCTTTTATTTGGCGGTAACCATTGTCTCCATAGGACTCTTTATATCCTTCCAATCGATCATAAAGGCATCAGTTAAATTCTGGCTGGCAGTCAGCTATCATCGAATTTTCGGAAGATAATATTGTAATAATATTATAACAACAATGTGTCGTATGTTCGGAGTACTGTCGCTTGCCTACCTGGCTGTATTTTTATTGACAGTGGTGCGTTGTGATGAGTTAAATAGTTCTAAGGATTTTCTTAATAAAGGTAATGTATTGATGACAAATTTTTGTGGTCAAGAAAAACGTATGTGGTATATATTTTTCCATTTAGAGACATATGATATTTTGTAGATGTAAAAATTTTGAATTACATATGCTTAAATTGGAAAAATCTATTGTAACAAAAGTCTTAGTTAAAATAGAATTGTTTTTTGCTTTTTGTATTGAAAACTTTTTTTTTTCACACAAAAAAATTCTAAATCGATTTATTTGTAAGGGATAAGAAACTAGAATTTTAAAAATAAAGGATATAATTTATAAAATTCGGAAGTTGAAAATACATGTCATTTCTTTAAAAAAACCAGATCATATTTAAATAATAGAAAATTATCTAAAAAACACTTTATATTTGTTATTTTTTTTTAAATATAAAAACTAAGTATTCTATGTTTCTTTCCTTAACTTAAAAAAATATGTAGCGTATATGTTTTGTCGCGTGACTTTTAATGCTATCGTGATTATTATTTCTTAAGTGGCATCGATTTAATATCTAAGAAAGTTATAGCTCTACATGTATGTTATTTGAAAGTAATTAATGATTGATATAATTAATATAATAATTATAATTACAGATACAGGAGTCGGCCGTACTTTTGGTCACAATGCGTTGAAGAGATTGTCATTCATCTTCCTACCAGTAATGTTTACACTTGGTGTTATATCAACACTTCTGATGTCGCTAGCAGTGATATCCGTCAAGAATCTTGCTATTGGGGTTGTTCTACTTATAGTAGCTGTCAGTCAGGTAATTTGATAGAATTTTCATGGTGCTATTACCTATTTCTTTGAAAAAAATATGGACCAAGAGAATACATGAATAAAAAATCCTATGGATGAGAAGACAAACGTTAGTATTGATTTTGCATTTTTTGTAGGCTGTATCAAGATTGTTTGCTGGTGCAGTACCAGCTCCGGCGCCGTTAGTTTTCCACCCTCGAGCTGAACTCCTGCCAGCCCCAGCTCCCGCGCCTTGGCCCGTCAACGGCCCCCTCCTCTCACCTTGGGCCAGATCAGACAACGACGCTACAATATCCGATTAATTATTCGAAGTTTATAGACCAGGGGTGGAAACGACATCCCTAACGAATCGTTTAGCATTTATTCGACTTCCAGCTTTGTCATAAGGAATGACTAGCACAAAGGTAATACCCACCTTCGTCTGCCTGTCTCGAATTATATTCGTGAAAGTTAGACGACGATAAAATATAATTTAATATTATTTATTATTTATTTTTAAGTATTAAAACAAATTTTATTACAATAACGCTTTCATTTCACTTCCCAATTCATTTCAACGTTAGTTGTACTCCTTTGTTGGAGTTCCTTAACTTGTTATGCAGCAATCATAAATTAGTTTCAAACAGTATTTTATTGCTATTTTACTTATACTATATCACTGGAGGCTTCCTGGAGTATCTGATGTTGAATTGTAAGTAAGTTTATCTTACTTACAATTTCCTTTTTACTATATTATACTTCATAAATATATTCATAGGTCTTTTAAGTTCAAAGAGTATTTTGATCACTTTAAAACTACATATTGGGTGTTATTTACGTAAAAGTAGAAATCTAATGTGATAAATCCAATTCAAAATGTTTTGGTTTTTACACTCGTTTTGATAAATATTATCAAATCAATTTCATATTAATTTATCATATTGGCCATAGAAAGCTTTTCAATATTCATTTCTTCTTCATGCTCTGATAATTTAAAATAAGTTTCCTGCATAAAGATCAAACAATTTCTTTAATTTCAAACAATTTCAAATTTTGTATCAGAAGAAAATTAGGAAAATAAATACTTTCGTATCTTTAATATATCGTCTAGCGTATAAAAGTAAAGTAAGCAAAAGTATCGATATAATTATTTCAATTACTTAGGATAAATAAAAAATTATTATTAAAATCGTTTGCACCTAATGTTATGGGAGAATTCATTTACGCTATAAAACCAATTACAAGAACGTGCAGATCTATAGACGTGGAGTGAAATCCTTCGACAACTGATATCATGAGTTTATTGAACCTTTAGATTTTCTAACGTGTTCTCTAGATGTTGCTCATAAAAAGAGCGAAGCAAAATAGCTACCATAAACATATAAAAATTGCTTTTACTATTAAAAAATATTGATTAATTTTTACATCTAAACGATCTATTGGTGAAAACAGAAGATATGAACGATCTCGATCAGGATTACAGCAAAGAGAGGGGCGTGAGTTGGCTACACTAACGTCCCGACCGTCGCAATGACTGCACTAACCGCGCTGTTATTGTCAGTAGTTTTTATAAGTTCCTCAATAACTTTGATACAATGTTCATCTTCGAACGACGAGGAGAATCACACGATCAAACTCCACGACGCTGTCGACTTGAAGATACCTAAAAATAGCACGGAAAAACTTATTTCTCTTGAAATTAACATGAACAAAAATGAAGAGACAGGTATGTTATTTACTATAAGTATTTATTAAGTCTTATGCATTGCAAATCAAAGGCATTTACATTGAGAGAAACAAGTAAATAAACACTCAGTCCAATTAAAAGCTACTCTAATGTAAATAAAATTTCGTGCCTAAAATTACTTACGAAAATAATACTATTAAAAGTGAAATGTTTGAAAAAACATAATTTTAAAAGAGTTTGTATAAGTTTCATTTTTTTGAGTGTTCTTGAAATAAACTAATTGTAAAAAGAATTGAATTATATCTAAATATATTTGGTTAAGTTTATAGTATTTCTACCAAGCTACAACATTTAATGTAAATTGTTCATTTAACAAAATTTCATTCATTACTATTTCAGTTACACTATGAATTTCAAAATTATTGTGTATTTGATAATAATGAAAACCGATGCGGCTATACATAGTACAAATATATGGAAAATTTCAATGTGGTTAAATCTTCGTTATAGACAATATAACAAAAAATATCTTTTACTATAACACAAATCTTTACAGTACAAAGATTACATCTTCGTAAAGATATCTTTTATCTAGATTTCTCTTAAATCATTAACAAAACGGTATTCCATCTTCTCACTAGATACATATCTTGAAATAAACTTTAATTCTAGTATCCAAAAAAATAAATTGCTGACTAACGAATTATACAGTGAAACACAATAGTGTAGAATATTTGTAACAATAAGACATTAGTTGTTTAAGTTTCTTGAGACCGTTAAAACCGTTTGAATATTATAGTACAATTGTAATGCTTTATAAAGAGAAAAGATATAATTAAAAAAAAAAACTGTAAATATAATAACATTGTTTATGAGCGGTCTTTTCATACAGAATAACAATAGATACCTAAAGTTTTTTATGCTAAATTGGAACACTTGTTTTGTATGCAGGATAAACACACTATGAATATATTGACCCAATAAAACGTGGTCATAAAATGAAGCCATTTTTTTATATTAGGCGTTAGAAAATTATGGCATCGGAACAACGTTTTTCTATTACTTACAGCGGTGAAAGTCACCATCTGTAACATTCTGTTTGATTTTTTTGTATGTCTTAGAAAACAAGAAGATGACAAAGAAATGCTCTAGAATTAGTTTTTTATTTAACATAATTTTATATGTTGAAAGTTCCTAGTGAATATAAATGTATAGTGGAATAAAGTTGGTTGATAATAATAAAAGTAGTATTAGGGGCTAGGGCATACAACATTCACTCGTACAAAATATACTGTGTTGTCTTCATATTGAGAGAAGGTAGTATTCATCTAGATGATCAGTCCACTTGTGAACGCACCCTTACTGCACATATAGGCTTTATAGTGTACAATTATTATTAATTATTTCTATAATAATTACTAATAATTATTTCTATATAATATATCAGTAAAACTTCGTTTACTTCGTTTGCAAATAAAAGTCAATCTAATTCCATTGTTAATGAAAGCTACTTCAATCAAGTGTCTTTGATGAAACTAAACGACTTAATATTTACTATGGATCATATCTGCTACATATAGCCTTTAATTTATTGACAATAAAATTAATATTAAATCATGACTACTTAGAAACACTAGGATATTAGTAAAGTTATAAAGCTAAGGCTGAATGCCTTGTAAGTGGACCTTATAAATACGCAGGGATCTTACTTTCACTATTATAAATCCCAGAGTGAAAATACCGTTTAATATGTTGAAAGTGCTTAGAACAATCCTAAACTTGATAAATTATGTGTTACGTGGATATGTGAAAATTATAATCTAACAAAATCGATTAATACTTTTTAATGGTCCTATCTAAATTTGCATTTCAATTCATTTGTTAAAAATTATTTTAAAGCATATAATGGTAAATATGACTTGGCGTTTTTAAAAACTCGTATGATTTTTAATAATATTTTATTATTGTATTGATGTATCGGTAATGCTGATCGAACGACAATGACATCATTGATTTCATCCATAAAAAAGACAGAGCTTAAATATATTTAAACACAATAATAAATATCAAGTCAATACAATTTTTTGAAATCATTTTAAGATGTTAGATAATTTTAATTATATATATACATATATATATATATATATATATATATATATATATACATATATATATATCTGGTTAAAGATACTTTATTTAAAAAGAAATTACATTTCACTTATTTGAGAAACTTATGATTATAAACATATATTAAATTAAAACATATATTTAATTAATATATTATTTACAATTAACTATCAGGTTCATGTTTTGATGAATATATTAGTAAAGTCGTTTGTCTTACACTTTTTGTTATATTTATTATTTTTATTTATTATAATTATATAGTCGCCTATTACAAATTCATATAACACAACATTTTGTATAATTTTCTATTTTTGATTAACATTAATAATAGCATCATTCAATAAATTTACATCTAAATTAAAAAACTTAAATATTATAAGTGATATTGTTTTGAAATATTTTTTCCGAATACCTTAGTATTAGGTACTATAAGTTATAAAAGCAACCATTACTTCAAAATTATGAAGTGTGAATAAATATTTAATTAAAATAAAAATATATTGTAACGTATGATTAAGTTTCTCCCATAAAAATAAAAACTTCTATGAGGCTAGGACAGAGAGACGAAATCATCTTTTTAAAAGGACGCTTGAACAATGTTGTCAGCGACAAAAATCCTATTCCTCTGTCTAAATGTAATAACATTAAAACATCTCTTAGCATATTGTGTAATTCAAGGAAATATTTTTAATTAAATTGTTCATTACTCTGTCTTTTGTATCATTTTAAATTTTAATATGCATTTTGGATGGTAGTTCTTTTTAATTTTGATAAATATAAATAACTATTTCTTCACGTACATACTATTTTAAACTCACACATTTTTAAATATAATTATTAAACGAAAAAAATCATGTTTTTTTCAGGTCGAGGGAAAAATAAGAAATTGATGCAGAGGATTCTGCCTATGTTCATATTACCATTTGTCATGCAGTCAGCGATAGTCCCACTGTTCCTGGGGCTTCTGAAATTCATGTTATTTAAATCCCTGATGATTGGAAAACTGGCTTTAGTACTCATCATTATAAATGCGTTCAAAAATAGCAATTCATTTAAAGGCAGACAGGACGAAGCCATAGCCAATGTACATTACGGTTTCCACGGAAATGGCAATGAAGAATACGGTTCATATTTCAATCGTTAATACGTTATTACTTTATTTTATCTAAAAATAATAAACAATGAAGTTAATTTTAGTACATGATCCAAAGATTGTTTATATAAACAGTGTATAACTTTCAGGGAAATGATAATGAGATCTATTGCCACTTGCATGGTATTAAGTAATGTAACTAAATTTTAAAGAAAAATTCTGGCTGTATGAATATATTTTTCAATTGCTTTATTTATTTATTTATTTAAAAAAATATTGTGTAGGTTGTTGGATTGTTCTACGAATGTTTATATAGTCAATTATGAAGCACACTCAGTTTTAAATAATAATGTTATATTAATGTAAATATCTTGTTAAGTAAATATTTAATTTTAATATAAGAGAGTCGCTAATAAAGATAATACAGAATTTGTACTGTTTTTTTTAATCAGCTTTAGGAAATAAACGATAATGTGGATGAAGTATTTCTAGGTGATATAGAACCTTCACGGTGCATAAAGTCGAAAACATTTGCCAGAATATAACACGATGTAACATTCATGGCACACTGATCACAGATTATATTTTTCTGTTATATTTTTTTATACCTACTAATTCTTTAATACACATTTTGTATTTGTTTTCTAGTGAACTGTGACATCATTAAAACTTGCACGGTTTACAGCGATGCAAGAAATTCTATTAAAACATTAGTTAAAATTCAGATTTCTTCAATAAATCGATATTATGTACGTAAAATACACGAGTATCTTGGAACAAGTAGCATAACATTTCAAATAATGTCACAATTGTATTCTAGAAGCTGCTACTAATGGAATTATTTCCACTTATATGACATTTAAAATATATATTTAATTTTTTTTATGTAGGTAGGTACCCTTTATTTCGTAGACCAAAAATTTACAAACTTATTCGCAAAACATTTTAAAACTTCTATTTTAAGATATCTTTAAAATGGCTAACTGGCGTGTTTTAAATTTACGATATATTCAAAAGTGGTTTTACAAACGGTTACTTGTTCGTTATATTGAAACGCATTGTAATTTTTGTAAAAAACAACTGACACTATTTCACAGAGCATAACAGAGCATTTTACTTCATGATTCTTAGTTTCATATTGTATTTGGTAGGAGGCGCTAGTATATAAATATAATATTATTTGTTACTAAGGTGTAAATAACAGATAACTTATTACACTCATCCTTTTTTACTATTAATTCTTAAAATACTATTATAATGAATTAATGACATTTTCTCATATAAATTGGACACAATACATTCCATTTGCAACAAATGACTCAGGAAAAAACAAACTTGTAATTTATTGTATTACTTATAAAAAAAAATTGATATTCTATTTACTGTTGTTTCTTGTGAATTATGTATAATAATGTGTTATTTTAAAATAATTATTCCTGGTCGAAGAAACATAGTAAATACGATGAACATACTTTCTAAACATATACTCTTACTTTTCCTTGGAAATCGAAATTCTAATAAAAATAAAATATTAATAAAAGATAGTAGAATCAGCAAAGCATATCATGAAATGTAGTAAAAATGCAAATGACTTATTTAATAAAAAATCTCTATATAACAGCCGCTCATATGATTCTAATTTTTTAATATTTAACTTAATTTATTATTAATATTAAAAGTCTGAAATTTCTCAAAACTTAAAATTAAATTCTTATCTAAAAGGTTTTCCTCTATCGTGTGTTCATAAAACATGCCATTTGTTTTAAAAATGCCGTTATTAAATTTCTTTCTTACACATTAATTTTTTGTCTTAAAATGTATCATCTTTCTATATTCTTTTCAATAAACGACTGACAACAGAAAATATGGATATTATTACTATTTGTATCAAAATGGACCAGATACTTATTATTTGTCATACTTTTCGCTCTTTGCCATATTAGGTTAAGACTGAATATATTCTCTCTTCAATATTTTAAAATATTGAAAAAAGCGAAAAGCTACTGTAGGCGTTTCCTTCTTTTACCAACGAAAAACTACAAAAAATCCATGATATAAATGTCATTCAACAATATTTATTTACTTTCGATTTGCGTTTTATTTGTATTTCATATGATTTCTGTACCAGTGTTCCATGCACTTAAGCAAACGAAATTAATAGTTCTCGATTTATTTATTTGATAGTAAGATGCGGCTAGCGTAAACAATTACTACGTACATAGTTGTGTTATATTTTGGTTCATACCATTGAAATGCCGAATTTAGAATGCATTTTGTTCTTGTTAAATACTAGCCTTACCCTACCTTGTATAATCACATTACATACCTAAAGTTATAGGTTTTCTTACATGAATTTTCACATTTCCTTCTGTTAAAGTAGGTCTACGAGGCCTTTTCAATGTCACATTCAAAAACCTACGTTAATGTGAAGTTAAATTATGAATGAAAAACGTAATTTTTAGTAACGCTCTGTTTATAGTAAGACAATGTGCATTTGTAATAATTCACATATCTACTACCCAGATTTTGTCAAGGTTAACAAACCGCTAACAAGTGACATTTGCGAGTATTGAAAAGCTTGTTTTATCCATTCAGTGATTATCATTTTCTTTAACAGAGTAATATCATAATAGACATGCATATTTTATTAATCTACATTGTCTTGAAAAAAAAACTGTTTAATAATAACTTTACATAACAATGTCGAATGATAATTAATCTAACAACTAATTAGACTCAACAAAGCTTTTTAATTTTTTTAAGAAAAAAGATTTAGAACAAGTTAAACGATTTGCTAAAATACTCGTTAATTGTTTGTGTTACTATGTCAATAATGCAGATTCAAATTATAGCACATCCTGTTCACGTTGATATTGCTAATTAAATTCTGCAGGCACTTTTAAATTAATTTCAAATTAACATGAGAGCCTAATCTTTCAATGCTTCAAAAGTATATGAGGATCATATGAATGTAAATTATTTAAGTGGAAAATATATTTTTTACGTTTTAAAAAGAAATATGCTATAACTATCAAGGGTAGTTTAGATACCCATATTGAAAATATGTGTGTGTTTTGAAATGTGTTTTGAAAATACGTTTTTCAAATAAATTACCTAGCTAGTTAATACCTACTCGTATTTTTGATTTTATTACTAGTTCAAGGAGATTATCACTTAGTCCAGAAATTGATAAGTAGGTTCATAAATAAAATAATATTCGATTTGAGAATGAATAAAAAGGGAAAGAACATAAAAAAGTTTATAATAAAATTTTGTATTTAGGTACACAAATACCAAATATTTAAATTAATATATATATTTTTTATTTGTTTATATATTTATAAAGGATTTCCAATAAAATAGTTATTACGTTTTGTATTTGTGTTTAAAATGTCTATTTGTTTTTAAAATAATTTGTATTTTTATACTTTATACATTTATTTATCATGTATCCATGTTCATATTAGTAAATTTTAATGTCGATAAGGAATTTTTTACATTGTAAATAGCATATTTTCAGTCAGTTCCATCTTAGGGTAATCATATCTAGTGCACAACAAGAAGGCCAAAACAAGTCAATCATGTAAATATCGATGATAGGCTATTAGATTGACACGTATTAACCTTTCAGCTCACCGTTAGATAAACAAAATAGATGTAATATTGAAAAACTTTATATAATTCATTATTTTTAATATTATGGTAGATAGTGATAATAAAGGTTGTATGAGGTAAATAGGTATCCAATAGTGAAATATGCATGAAATATCCATGACATACTTAGTTAAACTGTTATTCTCACAATAAACCTTCGTAACTATTGTGTTTGCTTTTCATAATGACATAGAAAAACTTTATAAGTTATATCAACAGCGCTCGTATTCATTACTATAGTGTAATGGGATGTTTAGACTACTATATAGTAGTGTGTGTCTATATAAAACCAAGTAGTTTCAGTTGCAATATTAATTACGACACTATACAGTCTGCATTAGTTGCTGTGTGAACAAGCTGTATATCTTGTGTATAGACGTTTTCTAAGAAGTTTGAAATATTTCTCGACTCTGCATGCGTTTGTTGCATAGAATATGTTTAACGTGGAGTGCAAAAATCACAAAGACACATAATTTTTTCCTGAAAAACGATCGGAGATTTAATTTATGAAACAATTTATCCGATAACTATAAAACTGGATAATAAAAGGTTAAAGGACGCTAAAAGCAACAAAGTGAAATTACTTTTTTAAAGTATCGTTACAGTAGTTTTCCTTTATTAATAGCCTTATATATCGTTCTACATAAGTTTTTAGAACTGATGATTTTCTGTACTTAACTCATTCGAAAAACTATGTTTAGCACCTTATTACGTACATATAATAATGTGAAAATAAATGCAACATTAATAATTATAATTAGGTTTAAAAATGTGACATTTCTGATTTTTATCTAAAAACACATTAGTAGTAATAACTGCTACATGACATTAATCTATCTGTCTTTTAAGGCCTTAGTCTTCTAAGTTGTCATCTTCACACAACATAAGGAGTGTATATAGTTTTTATCTATAACTCCTCACACGTTATAATCATAACGTAGGTTATTACGAGAAAAACTTCGTATGCAGTAGTTCGATGCAAAGTTAGAGTAAGTATAATGCTCGCAAACTATTTCCTTACAATCACTTGTATTGAATTAGAATTTTAAGAACTCTAAAATTATGATTACTTTTTTTAACTTTTCAACTTCTATTAACAGTGCTACCATACATGAGAGACGAAAAATCTTAACTCCGTTTAAGTTCTTTTCTAGGTTTATAAACATAATAAAGTCCTATATTTTTTATTACATAAAAAAATATTTAACATAAAGTATGAGAAAATAACTCATAAATATAACAACGATGTGTGAATATAAATTCAAGGTAAAATCTTTAAATCTTCCAAAGATCTAAATGCTACAGGTGTTATAACTGATAAGGGGTAACAATCATCTATTATCATAAGAACATTTATCTAAAGAGAATCATACGATAAAAGGGAAACAGATGGAGCTGATAAAAGAGACTGAAGTGGAAAGGATACTGTAATATACAAAAAATAGGACAAAAATTAGTTGATTCATATTACAGTCACAACAAATAACGATTAATAATAATCGTAGGTTTTTCTTTCTAGTTAAAATATTTGTATAAATCTCTTCTCCAGTCCATGATATTACATTTATTGTAATATTTTTCGCTTCTTAATGAGTATGACATATTAGTTATGGTAATTGCTCTTGTTACAAATTAGCTGTACTAAAATAACTCGCTTATCATATTAATATTGTTGTGTATTATTTAAATTTTAATCTATGTTCCATACGAAATTCGCCTTAAGTAAATTACAGTCTAACTATAATACTTTTATATAATAGCTTTTATATTAATTGGATTACATATTACATATTTTGATATCATACATAAAATCAAGCAAAATATTTGCTATTTTTTTGTACTCATTTATTAAATACATTCTCTATTTGCCTTTTACGTAATATCGGCTTTTCAACTCTATTACCTGTATGTGGATCGCTACAATGAAAGTTACTAGAAATGTATCTTTTTGAATAACAAGTTCCAGAATCATGAGATGTCATGAGTCATCATGACAAAATCATGAGACATGATAGCTTTAAGTCTTGTTTCTTGATACGTCAACCAGTCAAGTCTGATGTTAGGTTTGGTAATGAAAATGAAACTGTTCCGTAAGTTGTAACGTAACTCGATTGCGTACTAAGTACCTTCGCAAATTTTATCAACATAGTTAACAGTTGTTAAAACGCTTTAATACTGCAATCACGTCTCAACGGTAACAGTTTTGAGTGAAAGTAAATTACGGTGAGTTTATAAAAAATATTTTTTTATACTAATTCGTCACCATCAATTAAATAAATGTGCCGTTATTTTATAGATACCTTCAGAAGTTAAATATCTACATTTTGTTTAAGGTTCAATAAAATATTGTCTAACAATTTTTATTTTACGCAATATTAAATTGGTACAATGTTTTGATTATGCTTTTTTGTTATTTATTAAACAAAAACTAACATTACGGATTAGGCAAGTAAAAAATAGTTGCACTTCTAAATAAGTTTTCAGCGATCTTGCATTAATTTAAATAAAGAATTTTATTAAAATTTGAGACACACAAATTTTAAGTAAATTCCTCCTAAAATAGATGGTGAAATGATTTTTTTTATTACTAACCGACTCCAAAGATTATTGTTTAGCATTATTTATATTCGTTATATGAAGGTAGCTATAAATAACAAGTCCTATTAGAATAGATAATGTTTAACAAAGAGTTTTATTACATAATATACCTACTTAGTTTTTAAGTGGTTTCAATGGTTAATAGTGAACTACTGATTTCCTAATTCTCTATAATATATCTGTTTGAACGAACATTTAAAGTCAAAGCAAAATCTTACTGTTATGTTTTATTTCTGTATTAAATAAGTAATTAATAGCACATAAAAATTTCTGTGAGATAAAATACTAGTAAAAGAAGACAAAACGTTATGCAAAAAAATGCAATAAATAACCTCATTACATAATTCAGTCGTAAAAAGGTTCTGATAATCAAATATTCTAACGGGCAATGTAATATTTTTAGTGTTTTATAAATCACTTTGTCTAATTATTACTCAAACAAGTTATCTAGAATCTAAATAAAAGCTGAAACTGATTGTCCACACTGTCGCTGTTGGTATAATAATAAAAAACATTAAAATCTCTTCGCCCAGTCGTAAGTAATGAGGTCGCAAACATAAAAAATGTACAGATGAATTGAGAACCTCCTTTTGTTTTGTAGTCGGTTAAAAAGAGATTATATTCAAACAAAGTTTATGTCCCGATTTGCTTATGACTTATAGTTCATAAAGCAAAGTAATTAATTACGCTTCTAAGTAAGAAAAGCATACTGCGCATTTAACATTTACCTTTTAAATATTTGATGTTTATAACTGTAGTTGTAATTGAAAACTTAATAACATTTTAAAAGTGAACAAGTTTTAATAAAGAAAAACTCGTGTTAAACAAAATTAATTGTGCTATTGAAGTTTCTTCATTTAATTTTTTTCAAACCATAGAATAAATAATATAAGATTGGTATAAGATATCTGTAGTTTAATTCTTCTTATTGGACCAAAAATTTTCAACTATAAGAGGTACCACATTTATATGAAAAGTCGTTATTTTATTTTAAACTAAACACTTTGCCGATGTCATAAACCAATTTAAAACTTATTTGTTTATTTTTATTCTTTCAGATGATTTCCCAAATGATAAAATGGATTTGTAATCATAAACTTTTAGCATTCTTGGGTGCAGCGACATTTTGTTTTTGTATATCTACCATTGTTTTATCTGTGCAAAACAGCAAACTGAAAGAGTCCTCTCACAGTTCTTCTGAAATGGTAAGAATGACTTAAATAAAAATCATAGAAAGTGAGAATTAAGACTTTCAAATAATCATCAAACTGTTTTCTTCTAGGATAACCGATATAGACTCCCTGATTACATAAAGCCTACCAATTATCAATTAAAATTGATTCCAAACATATCACAAAAAACTTTTGATGGAATCGTTGCTATCTCACTGTACATTACAAAACCAACCAAGACTATCACACTACACAGCAAAGACTTGCAAATAAAATCAATAGATTTCAAAAACTATTTTAATCAAAGTATAGCAGTGTCTTCTTCAAATATAATAGAAATGGCAGAGGCATTACAAATCAATCTACAGAAGGAAGTCGTGCCAAATACAAATTATCAGCTAGAAATAAATTTTTCAGGCAGATTGGACAAAGGAATTGTTGGTTTTTATTCGAGCACGATGAGAAACCGGGAGTAAGTAATAGCACAACTTTTTTAAAATGTAAATCAAAAATCATTTTATCTACCAACGCCTACAAACATTTAAATTAATATACTTAGCAAGAGACAGTTTTGGTTCGCATTTTAAATGAATAACAATTGTTAATATTGATAATTTTGAAAAAATGTTTTTTTTTGTATTTCGACTTTGATAAATATATGCGTCATACTTTTATATGTATCACCCTCTTAATTTTTTTTAGTTTTTGGCTATTATCCTGCAACCATATCTTATATGTACGACTAAAATAAATATGTATCATTAATAAAGTATCAACTAAACAGTTAGAGAAAGAAAATTGGAAATAGTGACATTTTTTATTTTTGTTGTAATTTACTTGCTCAGATCTTAATAATTTAGAATCCATTGCGTAAATATTTATTAAAAAGTTCTTTTACAAAATATCATTTGTCACTTGTCAGTGTCTCGGAGTCTCCGTGATGACTGATTGATAACATGAGTATATAGTACTTTGTGATACCGGATAAGTGTTTTTGTCGGTGTTATTCCTCCGTTTTTCGTCTTTATTTACCTTTTATATGTTACTTATAAGATCATTTTACTTTAAATTGAAATCGAAACCTTTTCGATCTCTTATAATTTCACGATTTATATGCAATACTTCCATCGATACTATGGAGAATTCGTATAAAGTTAAACTCTCCGAAAAACTTTCTTCTTTGGTTCGACCAGCGCATTACAAACTATTTTTAAATCCAAATCTTGAAACTGGAACTTTCTCAGGAGAGGTCGATATAAATGTTGTTGTTAAAGAGACAAGAAATTTTATAGCTCTCCATTCAAAATTTTTGGAAATAAATGACGTAAAGGTAAACAAAGATCGTGAAGAAGTTTCTGTTTCAAAATTTTTGGAAGTTACGTCTTTGGAACAACTTTTGATTCAATTTGATAACAACCTTTCTCCCGGAAATTATGATATAAATATTAAATTTAATGGAAGTTTAACTCGGAACATTGTAGGGTTTTATTTGTCCCATTTAAAAGACAAGAGGTACTATCACATTGAGATAGAAAATGCTAATTTGAATATTATGTATATGCTATAGCAAACATATATTTTTTACAGTACAATGGTTGCAAGTAAGTTCCAGCCGACTTATGCTCGACAAGCTTTCCCATGTTTTGATGAGCCAGAATACAAAGCAACATATGATATAACATTAGTCAAACCCAAGGAGTACATCGCCCTGTCTAATATGAATGTAAGATAACATTATTGAAGGTAATTAAAGAAGGAAAACAGAACAAAAGACACTTAAAAGTGCAATCTATTTTGTTACACTTCATTGCTATTAATGAACCGTTATTGTTTGCTATTATTCTTAATCATACTTACATATTACTAGTACTATAAAGTAGAAAATATATGGATTTATTTTTGTAAATGTTTAAATAGAGCATATGCCATATAACTTGTATAATAGTCCTAATTTAAATTAAAATTGATTATGTATAATAATATTTAAATAAAAATTGTAGGAAATATCAAGATCAATAGTGGATTCTTCAGACTCCGAGGCAGTTACCTTTGCAACCAGTGTTCCGATGTCAACATACTTAGCATGTTTTGTGGTCTGCAATTTTGATTATAAGGAGGCTGATGTAAATGCTAATGGAATCGGGAGTAACTTTACATTGCGTGCCTTTGCTCAGAAGGATCAGACACATAAAATAGATTTTGCTCATGACATTGGGAAACGTGCCACCGAATTTTATATCAATTATTATGGAGTTCCCTTTCCACTTCCAAAGCTGGGTAAGAATATAACTATAAAGACCACTTGATATTCATTTACAATTCTTTTATATGAGTGTATATATGTATAGAAATATAAAAAATTATGTCTTCAAATTAGTATTCATTAATTTTATCTCATATAAAGCCGATTTAATCATCTTATTGGTGTTAAATATTCCAGATATGATTGCTATCCCGGATTATGTCTCTGGAGCAACGGAACATTGGGGTCTGATAACATATAGGGAAACATCCTTCCTTATTGACAATGATTTGGCGTCATCAAGAAATAAACTAAGTGTTGCCAATACAGTGTCCCATGAATTGGCACATATGTGGTTTGGTAACTTAGGTAATAATGTAAAATGTATCTTAATAATTTTCATATTATCTGAAATTTTATAATATATTTTTAAGTTACTTCACTTTATACTATAATAAATTGTGAAGAATAATTTGTTTTAAATAAAATTTTTCAGTTACAATGAAATGGTGGGATGAGGTGTGGTTGAATGAAGGTTTTGCTACATACATGCAAGCCAAAGCCTTAAATGCTATTGAACCATCTTGGACAATGGTTAGTACCATTGCTGCTGTAGAAAAATATATGAAAGAAATAATATCAATATATTTATGTTTTTTTCTTCTTATTTTTCAGTCAGATCAGTTTTTAGTGAGAACCATGCATTCAGTGTTAGATGTTGATTCTAAATTATCAAGTCACCCCATTGTACAAACAGTTGAAACACCCGATGAAATAACAGCCATCTTTGATTCAATATCATACAATAAGGTTGGTCTTACTTTTAAAACTACATATTTAATCTTTTTAGAAATTAAACTGTTAAAATTTATTAATAAAAAAACATGCGGCGTACAAAGTACATATGTCAGAAGTGAAACTTCTTTGGCGAACTAATTTATAAATCTTGTTTATATTTATACAAATCTAAAACTTTATACGACGTTCGCTCTGTCTCACTCTCTCTTAAACGGTCTCCATCGCTCTCTCTCTTTTTCGACATTTCCGTTGCATACCGGCGTGACGTTACATCTGTAAAAATTTTACCCTCATGCGTCTAAAGAAGTTACACTTCAAAAATCCTTTGTTTCAGGGAGCTTCGGTATTAAGAATGTTGGAAGGTTTTATAGGTGAGGAGAACTTCAGACTTGGTGTTTCGGATTACTTAAAGAAATATAAATATGGCAACACCATCACACAAGACTTGCTGTCGTCTCTAGAACCATATTTCAGAAAAGATAATCCAACTTTAAGTCTAAAGTGAGTATGTTGAAGAATATTGAATTGATGAAATAGAATACATAAAGCAGTTAATTTCTAATAGTCACTTCAAAGATATATATCTCTTTCTGAACAATTTTTTTTTAAGTATGCTTGCTCTTTAAGAGAGGGTAGTTTTACTAATATTTTAAAACAATACTACTTATAGAAACATTTGGACTACACTATTCTATCAGTTTAAGGAATAAATCTTGTTCATTTTGATGAATATTTTGTTGTATATTTATATATTTCTCTATTTGAATTTTAATTAAAATCACTTTAATATTTTTTTCTAATGTTTTACTCTACAAAATTTATGCATTTAGAGAATAGATTACACATAGTTATAAATATTATATGAATTTTCTTTCAGTTATATAATGGACACTTGGACAAGACAAATGGGTTACCCTCTAATAAGTATCAAATCAGGTGACAAACCAAACACCTACATCGTACGCCAAGAACGATTCCTCATAGATCCAGAGGCAAAAGATCCTGAACCATCAAAATATAAGTGGGTATAGTCCGTTAGACTTAAGATGAACTTTGCATTTGTGTGAGTTAAAGTAAAAGTAGAATTAGACAAAAAACTTTTAGAATTCAATTCTATTATTCATAGATACGTAACATAAGTGCTAGGGCTATTCTAGATTAAAATTAAAACAAGCAAAACTTGTAAAAGGTAAATATTGAGGCAAAAAATATAATAAAAATGTTGAAAAATCTTTACGAATTCTTCTTCACTTAACATTGCGTTTTCAACATTTGATGCTGCTATCAGTACAAAGGGTGAAGTGCGGAAAGTGCGGGGCGGAGTAAAAGCAGTATAAACTGGTTCAAACCTAGAAAAGCACATGACACGCACAAATTTGACATCACACCTACACTATCCGTGTACACTCACACAAATGCAAAGCTCAGCTTATACTTCGCGCAGTATATAAGTCTATATATATATTATGATACATATTATTGTCTATATAAATCCATGTAAATAGAAAAAGTATGTATGTATATTTATATATTATAAAAATATATTTAACAATCTGTATAGATTAGCTGTATAGATACTCAATATCGATTTAAAAATACTTTTTAGCATTCTCAATCATTTTTTATTATTAACATGAAACTATTATTTTTCGGATTATAATACGCAATTTTATTTTTTTGAAAAACTACACACTCCCGACGTTTCGGTTACTTATCAGCAACCGTGATCATGGGCATTCACATCTCGTATGCCACATGTCTGTCGTCGAAAAATATTAGTTTCTTTTAAATGAATAAAACTCGTGAAAATCTTAGATCTCTTTTTGTTATTATTTCAGCTACCGTTGGCTCGTACCAATTACATACACCAGTGATAAGGGAACAAATGATAATATTACCTGGTTCCCTGACAACAGTGACTCAAGTGAGTTTGCATTTTTATTATATATAAGATTAATATATCAGTGGTGGCCTTATAGTTAAAAGGCCCGCCTCTCATGCATGAGGGCGCGGGTTCGATACTGCAAGTACCAATGTGATTTTTCCGAGTCACATGTACCTTCTAAGAGTATATACACACCACTGATTAATACATTCCCACAGAGGGTTTATGTCAGGCAGGCGGCCGGTCGTAAAAACAATTAGCCAAAACTATATACAATATGTAAGGCAGACCCTGGCTAGAGCTGGGAAATTGCCAGGTAGAAGAAGATATATACATTATATACATCTATGATAATTAATCAATAAATTATTTACCCACAGTCCAGCTGACTTTAAGTGAAGGCGAAGATTGGTTTAAAATTAATAACAACCAAGTTGGTTACTACAGAGTCAACTACGAAGATAGTATGTGGCTTAAATTGATAGAGCAACTCAAAAATAAATCCACTAAGGTACCTTACTTTATGTCTTTATAACATACTTTTATAATTGACTAGTTTTTGCCCGCGACTTCGTCCGCGTTAGTTTCGTCATTAGTAATATATGTATAGCTGACCAGGCGAACTCTATTCCGTCTTAGAGGCCATAAATAATCAGGTTTTTCCTGTTTCAATCAAACATAATGATTGACATATTAGTTAGTTGTCAAATCTAATGTCAAAAAAATCGTTTGTATGGGAAATAGAAAAGGGCTGGTTTTAGGGTTTTCCCGGCAATTATTTTAATTTTTCTCACCTTTTATACCTTCCCTGAACCTCCACAAACATTTCAAGACTAAGATAAGACAAATCCGTTCAGCTGTTCTCGAGTTTTAGCGAGACTAAGGAACAGCAATCCATTTTTATATATATAGACGATAATTTCATTTTAATTTGGTAATGATATATTTTAATATAGTAATTTTTATTTAATTTTATATGCCTTACATCAGCAGTTCCCAAACTTAGTTTGTATGCTACCCACTTTGAGAATAACTTATTTTTTTCCTGGGTCTCTTAATGAAAACTTTAGGCCTGCAGTGACAACTATATGGCGTTATCGTCCACTTTGGGAATCACTGCCTTACATTATATGGTTTCCAATGTTTATAATATGTATGTTTCTTTATTACAGCTATCAATATCAGATAGATCTCATCTCCTAAACGATGTGTTCGCGTTGGCAGAGGCTCAAATAGTATCGTATGATATAGCTTTGAATCTGTCCACATATTTGGATGTTGAAACTGATTATGTACCGTGGGAGACAGCCAGCTCAATATTATCTGAATTATCAGACAGATTACTAAATACCACCGCTCATGATCACCTTGAGGTAAAATATTAACATTATTTATAGAGTTTAACTTATAAGTATACTAGGTTTCCGCCCGCAGCTTCGCCCGCGTGGAGTTCGGTTATATCGCGTTTCCAAGAGAAACTTTCAAAAGTCTGGGATAAAAACTATCCTATGTTCTTTCTCAAGGTCAATTCTATCTCTGTACCAAATTTCATTAAAATCAGTTCAGTGGTTTAGGCGTAAAAGCGTAACAGACAGACAGACAGAATTACTTTCGCATTTATAATATTAGTAGGGATTGGTTGTTGTTAAAGAGAGCGTGTGTGAGAGTGACACAGTACTTCCAGTACGTTCCACGATATTTTAAAATGAAACTTCAATTGTTCTTAATGTTCCTGTATTTCTCGAAGGTTCTTCATAATCACATTATTCAATGGTCCGCAATAACTGAACTCTGCCGTAGTGCGTCCAGTTTCATCAAGTCCATCTTTCAGTTAATCTTTCATGGATTTAACTTAAAATTTAAGGTTTTATATAGTTTAAATTTGTATGTTTATTTTAACTTTCAGGTATACATACAAAAATTAATAAAACCACAGTATGATACAAAATCATGGGAGAGAAGTAATTTGACGGTTATCGAAGGGTAAGAAAGCATTTAAATAAATATAATTTTTATCAATAACTTTAATTTTTTAACTAAATAATAATATCAACTTAAAAAAATAGTATGCAATATATGTATAAATATCGCTTTAAATGAAATTAAAATCATTTTTTTATTGAGAAGATAATATAAAGAAGATAGATTTCTTTTTATACAATTATTATATTATCAAATAGTATTTATTGATATATCATATTTAAATTGCTTTTTTTGTATATTTCAGCTTACTCCGTGCAAGAGTTCTATCTCTGGCTTCAAACTATCAATTACCAGAAGCTAATTCGAAGGTCCGCAGTTTATTTTTGTCGTGGCTGAATGCACCCAATGATACGAAAATAGAACCGGATCTTAGAGACTTTGTATACTATCACGGTATGAACACACTATGAAGTAATTAAATTTAAATAAAATTTAAATTCGATCATTGGAAATTTAAATTAAATTTAAACTGTATTTTAAGTCAGCCGTAATATGTATTTATTGTTACTGGCTCAAGTCCTACTTATAATAAATTCGAAATTGTATGAGAATTTATGCATGCACAGATACTCCTTGACGATAAAATACGTTATTTTGATGGAACTTTCCTATTATTATAGCTTAGAGTAACGTAAAGGCTCTGCGTTAGTTACTCATTCTGTTCAGTTTGTATCAAAAGACGTCATAACAGTGTATGTAGTGTGAATCGTCAGCGATAGATGTCGCTGTAAGTTGGTTAACATTTCTGATATATAAAAAACATAACATTTTTAAGAAGACAATAACGAAGTAAACTCGGACGAAGTCGCAGTGACATACTAGTCACTTTAAGAATAGCATATAATATTAAAAAACGCAAAACGAAGGTATTATAATATTGATGTCGATGTCTGCACGTGTGTATCATTTGTCTCTATGTCGAATCATAACACTTAAGTGGATAAAACGATTTGAATGCGGCTGTTTTTCATTTGAAAGCCAGTTCCTTGCAATGTTTCTTAGATATCAATGGTTAAAATCGGTCCAACATAGTAAAGGCACTTTAAAAATTATGTATTGCGTTTCTTTTGTATGATTTCACGATGATTATAGTAATAGTCTTTATTTGACTAATTAATGCGTTGTTCTTTTGTTTATTAAAATGTTCTTAATTATTTAAGGTATGAAATCAGCGACACAGGAGGAGTGGGATAAATTGTGGCAAATATATACGAACGAGCAAGACGTCCAAGAACTATCCAAATTGAGGAGCGCCTTATCAGCGCCCAGAGATGGAAATATATTACAGAGGTGAGAACTATATAATTTTAAATTATATGACGGAAGATTCCAAAAAGGTTTTATGTGTAACTGTTAAATATGTAAAGTTATAAATACATAAGTAAATCTAATATCTTAAAAAATAACAAATTGGGACGAATATATAATTATTGTTTCAAGAAATTCATGAAAAAATATAAGTCAAACAATTTTTTTCAAGCTTTCCATTATAAATTTGGTTTTAAATGAAATCACTAAGGCCCGTTTTTATTGTTTTTTTTGTTGTTCTATTTTCAGCTTTCATTATTGTAAAACGTAAATAGTTTTCTTTCATCAACACTTAATATTTCAGGAAACCCATTCAATAATTGTCTCTTATTCTTTTCTTTCATAATTTTTCATACGTATCCTTTATTTATTTATTTTTTTTTTATGTGAAAGGTGGCAAACGAGCAGACGGCCCACTTGATGGAAAGTGGTTACCGTCGCCCATTGACATCCGCAACATTTTGTTGCGGATGCGTTGCCAACCTTGTTTTTTAGGGATAGGGAGGGGTGGGAATTAGGAAATGGTAGGAAAGGGTGGGAATAGGGAAAGGGCAACCGGCTCTCTCACTCATCGGACGAAACGCAGCCATTAAAGGCTACTTCACGCCGATCTTCTGTGAGAGGGTGGTACTTCCCCGGTCGAGCCAGCCCATGTTCGAGCTGTAGTAACTGACTACAGCTAGGCTCTACCACCTAAATTTTATTTTATTTTCAGATATCTCACATTAGCGTGGGATGAGAACAATATAAGAAGTCAAGACTATCTGAATGTGATTCAACAGATCAGTTCTAATCCATCCGGAACAGATCTTGTATGGGATTACGTTAGGATCAATTGGACGAAATTAGTTGATAGATTCACTTTGAACAGTCGCTACTTGGGCAATATGATACCAGGAGTGACCGGCAGCTTCAAAACTAGTGATAAACTTAAAGAGGTACTATATTCTATAATATATATAGGTATATACATATGTATATATGATAATGACCACAAACACAACTTACAAAAAACTAAAAAAAATTTTAGAGTAATAAATTTGAACTATCTCGATTTAAACTTATCGTGATTTGAAATTGGAATGACACAAAACTCACTAAGAAAATCTACGATCGATTAATATATCATGCCAACTCGTGTTACTAACGAAAAGGAAATCCTGATCTTCCTTGAACACTACTAAAACGTCATTCGCTCTTCTAGACTCTCATATTCGTACAATATAATATTAATTATTATTATTACAATTCAAGATGGAGGCGTTCTTCGCTAAATATCCTGATGCGGGCGCTGGGGAACTGTCTCGACAACGAGCGTTGGAGAACGTTCGTGACAATATTCGCTGGACCAACAAACACATGACAGTTGTTTCAAATTGGCTCAAGAACAGATTATAACAACATTTAAATATAGAACACGTTAATTTGTGGTGTGAATTTTGAATTTGGAACATGATGATCCGTGGCGGCGGAACGCATAAAGATGATGTAATTTGAATTTAGAATTCACGTGTGATGTTTATAGTTGACTTTAATAAAGTGTTGTTAAATAAATAACTTTTTATTTACATCTTTACAGGTGATACAGCTAGGGTTTATGCGATTTGTTTAATTTTTTTATTGATGTTCTCGGAAAAGGTGGATTTTTTTAAAGTCAACGTTAGATAGATAGATAGCGTCAACGGCCAAGCAGAATGAGGAATAGTAATATTATTTTAAAGTGACTTGTCTCTAAATATTTATACATACCAGCGAGCAAATTTTATTGATTTCTCGTAGAAGTGATTATTCATTAATTTGTTGCTTGCTGGTATAAGCTGGTACAAGTTCTCGATCAAATAATAATCGATGTAAATGAAACTTGATTGTATTTTTAATGATTTTATTTAACTTCTCATTTACAAGTGTTAAATTAGAATTTCGCATTTCAGTGGGGAGATATTTTCAATCTGTTCTCTTTTTTCCAGTTCAGTTCGGATGACAAGGTGTGGTAGGTACGGGACGTAATTTTAAATCCACGAGTATATTATGGGTATTTTAAGGATAGTTTTCAGTGCAATACACTAACGTTGCAAGATTCTAACTAGACTCAAATTCTAATTGTGCCAAAACTCAACCTCTAATAGTGCAAGACGGACAGTGCGAGACTAGAAAACTTTTATGTGGTTCTATGAGCTCTAGTTTGGAAAAAATGTCGTTTTTATTTTTCACATGGACTTATATATGTACCTACATAGAAAATATCATTTTAATATTTGGTATACTTAAGGAAAATGGAGTTAATAAAAGTTACGTTGCCTTTATTTTTATATCTGCCTTATGTTTTATAATCAACTATCTAACATTATTTGCTTGAGATAATTATTTAATTATAAGGAAATAATATCAAAAGTGAAGTATTGAAATAAATTGCAGTGGATTTCTTAATTTTTTTCCAGTTTATTCAGAGGTTTGTCTCAAAACTGTGTACACACTGTAAGTACCACGAACAATCTGAAAGACATAAATAAATAAATTGATTATCTGTTCATCATGTCATATGTACTGGCGTCTCTCATTGCAATGTGATTTTTTATAATGCCAAAGGTGGCAAACGAGCAGACGGCCTACTAGATGGGCAGTAGTGACCGCCCATGAACATCCGCAACATGGATGTTACGGATGCGTTGCCAACGGATGCGTTGCCGAAGGGAGGGGTCTGAATAGGGATATAGCAGGAAAGGGAGAGAATAGGGAAAAGGCAACCGGCTCTTTCACTCATCGGACGAATCTTCACGGATCTTCTGTGAGAGGGTGATACTTTCCCGATCAAGCCAGCCCATGATCGAGCTGTAGTATCTTGACTACAGCTAGGCGCTACCACCTCTAGAACCTCCTCATGTTTAGACGTTTATCGAAATAAACTTTCTTTTACATTCTCTATTTATAAAATATAAAATAAATGATACGACAAAATTATATTTTAAAATAAATTTACCAAAAATAATCTACATTAAAAATAATTTTATTTTTACCATCACGAATGTTGGTAAATCAACGGTGACGAAAGGCCCGGCGTATATGCGTCGGGACTGCGACATACTGACACACAAGATGGCTATTTCCTGTATTATATGTTTACTGAGACACCATCTAGCGGCTCGAAAAGGTCCCTCGCCGGACATTACCGCGCTCTGTAACGATTAAGGGGATTTATGAATTCTAGAACAATACGAACTATTTATTTTGATATAAGTACCTACTTGTATTATATTTAAATAAAGTAAATAGTATCGGTGAATAATCTATTCCTAAGAGGCTTCTGTGAACTATCTTTAAAAGAGTAAAATAAATAAATACTATTGATAATAGTAATGTCTTCGCAAAAAATCTATTTTAGTGGAAAATAAGTTACAATTCACAACTCTTAGATACCATATATTATATGTTTACTTGCTTTATAGCAATTTAGTAATTAAACGAATAATGCATCTGATCTGACATATGTATAACGCCTAAACCACTGAACTGATTTTAATGAAATTTGGTACAGATATATGGGTGACCTTGAGAAAGAATATAGAATAGTTTTTCCCAGACTTTTGAAAGGTTCTCTTGGAAACGCGATATAACCGAACTCCACGCGGGCGAAGCTGCGGGCGGAAAGCTAGTATTCATATAAATGTCACGAATAAGTTGTCTTTGAATTTGTGTGAAAAAGAATTAGGTATAATGTAGGTAAGTCTGAAGAAAAGCCGTAAGTATAAAATATTTCTTTGGCAATGAAAATCATTAAAATTGTAAGCGATATTATTTGATTCTCATTTTACTATACATTAACAGCCTGTGTTTAAACTAGATAGGAATCTGCTTTGTACAGACACTGTTTTCATCAAGTGTAGTTAAAGTTTCGGTATTGTGAAATAGTACTACGATGTACCTACAGTAAGTTCCAATTCAGTTTTTTTCCACTTCACTGCGCTTCGTTTCACTGGAAAATTGTTCTTACCTGTGTTTCCTTTACACTTTTAGTTGGGATCATTCTGGCGTATTCAAATATTGGCATTAGAATACGTTGCATCGTGATTACAGGAGTGGTTTTGTTTTGTATTTGAAAATAAAGGTGATGATTAAGATGATGATGATTGATGTTGGTTTTATTTAGTACTGTATCACTTTATGTATTTATTTTTCATATATGTGTAATAATATTATCAGAAAGGTTAGACAAAATCATAACCAAAAATAAAATTTATATACGTATGGGGTTTTGACATTTTAAAGTTTGACTTTGTTTCTAGAGAAACAAATTATTCCCTTGTAATAATTTTTAACGAGAATTAGGTATCATAGATCGTTATTTTATAACATTTTTCGTTATTTTCCAAAAAAGATGGTGAATTTGATATATTATACAAGTTTTCGATTTCTTTAAAAAAAATCTTGTCTACTCGAACGCAGAGTATATTAACTATAAATACGTGATAGTTTTAATCACAGTTTACAACCTCACTGAACATGCCGTCTCCGTACAGACAGAACAGGTAAAGCTGAGTTAGTGTAGCGATCGGAAACTGCAGCAGAGATACTATTTCCATTGCATTGAGACTATTCTGTAAAAAAATATATAAATAATTTTAAAAATTCCCTGTTTGTTGCTTGAAGGTTGGCGAATTTAAGATTCACGAAATAAAAACATGTTTATCTATTCTCCTCATTGAACTCGTAAAGAAGTAATGTCTTAAATTCATGTTATTTACTTAAGGTGAAATAGTTGTGATAATATTTTTCTACCTAAAAATCCTTATATCGGGCCATAAAACAGATATCTTTTTTAAAGTAATATCCTGAATCCTAATGATTAGATATTAATAAACAATATTAATTTCTGTTCTTATTGTGGTTCTTATTGTTATGTTTCTTACCCATTTTAGTAATTGGACAGCAGCAGAGCATAGCGTCATAGCAGCAATACAAAAATATATTCCTAGAACATTCCTTATTAGGTCGTCCAAATCACTGACTGATCTACAATTTTATATTTAATGTAATTGAAGACAGGAGAAAAAAAGGTAATACTTGAAGCTTTGTTACTAAATTAAGATAGTTTTGAGCACAATTAAGATATTTAGACTAAAATAGCTTCTTTTTGTTCATGAGGACTAAAAGGCGATTTTGCCCTATTTACAACGGCAGTTTCTAAATACTTACATACATATATCTTAGTGGTGTCGATTAGGAATCAAGATAGAAATATTTTTTAGACCAATTCGGGTTTAATGGAAGAGAGGAGGGATTAGTAATTTCCGATTTTAAATCATCAAATCGTAAGTTTCATTGTGTATGACCATATTTTTACGCTAACAAAATTAACAGAAAAGAGGAACTAAATATTTACTTAAGGGTTTTCTTAAAGAAGAAGTGACTTACTTCAGTAATGAAATATGGACGTAATGACACTTTTTAATCCTATAATGAGCACGATCATCTCTCCTCTTTGATAAGGATAAGTCATTGCCTCTTCCTCCAATATGTTCGCTGAACTGATGTAGCAATGAGAATTGACCTCGTATAAAAATCATCAATCCGATTGCAGTTACATCATATACTGTATGGAGTTTGACACAATACTCTGCAGCTATAACTTCTGCTACGATAAGTATAGAATAACTAATAACACTAGCGTCTTGGGGGGACCATCCTGGTAAAATATGAGGGTATATTCTCTCATTGCCCTTATATACATGATATCCATACTCAATGAATGGCGACAGTACGTATACGTTAGCTGCATAAAAATAAACGCTAGACAAAATTTTCGCAAAACCATGAAATTGTTTTGTATAACTGTCTATATGTTCTGTCAAGTAATCATCTTCTTCATCCTCAGATTCGTATTCGTATTGCAATTCTCTTTTATTCAATACCTCATTTTCCAATAAAGTTGTTTGCGTTATGAGGGAATCCCACAGTTTCTTAGACAGGAATATTGAAAATAATTTTGGGACACTCATCGTAAGAAATGTAAGTCGACCAGAACATGCCAACAGTTCATCCAGATTACCCAACGCCAAAATAAGAGCAGTTAATTGAAAGAAATTGCAAACTAAGAAACAGAATATTGATATTTTTACCTTCCAAGGTACATTGTTTTGCTCTCTACCGAGCAACACTCCTGAATCCTGAAATAGATTGTCTATGATGTCTTTTACACTAGGTTTGCTTTTTTTGATGTAAGCAGTTCTCGGATCGAAAAGCCACTGAAATATTTAAACATTATTTTTCTTTTAGTCTTCATATTCAATTTATGAAATAATGTATAAAATTAAAGCCTACGAAATAAAGAATGCGCAGGGAATGTTAGAGAAATCTTAAAATGCGTTTTTCTTTTATCAGATGTAGTAAAGAAAACTACCTTTAGAAGTGATCCCATATTGTTTGTTTGGTGTGAAATATAAACTCGTACTGTTGAAACACGTAATAATCAAAAGGCAATTACACGAAAACATAAGTGTCGTCATTTTTATCGACATTCTGCAATTAAATATTTTATTAAATATAAATGTTTGCGCGCATTTAAGTTTCTTTACATTTTTTAGTATCGATATGATAGATTTTATATTTGGGTTTATTTATGGATATAATTATTTAAATAGGTATTATTTAGCTGTTTCAATATAGTTTTCTATGTTTTTTAGTTATTCGCTTGATCACGATGAAATTTATATACGTTAGGAAGTAAAATTTTTACATAAAATTAAATTATCGAATAATTTCTCTGCATCTTGCATTTTTTCGGAAATGAAAGCTTCATATTGTTCTATATATATGTATATATTGTTCTATATACATATGTATATATGAAAGTCTATATCCTATTCAAAATATAAATGTGAATGTACAAAAGTTGTATTTTGAGTGAAGTCACATGACACACAGATGTCTTTGCTGGTTGGATACAATGTCTATTGTTTTAAAATACTTTACCCTGTTTTCTCTTAGCCTATTAACGATGTTGACGCAAACGAAATCGCGATTAAAAACTAGTTTATATACTTAAATGTATCGCAATTATAGAAATGATGAAACATAATTGTTTAATTGTTATTGCAAGCCCGCCTCTAATATGTAACGAATTCCAAGTAATTTTTCTTAATTGTATATAAGTTTGTAAACAAGCATATTTTATTTATAAAATTTAACTAAGAACAGGGTCGTAATAAATATGACCTGTCTCTATTTCTAATATTATTAAAATATTTTTGATGCTTCTGTAGTTTTAATCCACTTAATAAAATGAGAGCGTTTAGATACACAATTTTAATATGTACTAAGATACGAAAGCATTACTCTAACAGAAGTAACAAAAAAGTGGACCCAAATATCTATTTAAACTAATAATTTAAAATGACTACTATTTTAAAATTCAATTCAAGATAGTAGAGAATGGTGTAATATAGAAAATGCCTTAACACGGAAAATTGTTTGAATACACTTCAGGAACTTTTTAAAGTTTTTTTCTATTCCCTATCAATGAATAAGGAAACGTTTGTTAAATATATTTTATGAAGATTTTTTTACTATATTTACAAACAGCTCTATGACATTAGCTTTTACAACTCAAGTATTTTAATTATTATGGTTTAGAATTGCAAGCCGTTAAGAGACTCAAATAAAGTCCAGTCAAGGAACAAGCAAGTGTGAAGATAAGTATCACCACTCTAATATGGAAGATCGGTGAAATAGTCTAGTTATTGGCTGAATTCGTCCGAAGAGTGAGAGTCAGTTGCTCTTTTCCTTTTCCCCCATTTCCTCCTCTTCTCTAATCAAGGGTGACGACTCATCCGCAACATAAGAGAGGTTGTGGATGTCCATGGGTGACGGTACCACCTCCATCAGGTAGGCTGTCTGCTCGGTTGCCCCATTTACCATACAAAAAAGATACTGTAAGAATATTATTCTCATTCCATTCAAAATGTTTAATAGTACTTAATAAATATACAGCCATATCCTTTGGCGCCTTTGGCTTTAAGACGAGGTTAGGAAAAGTTTGTGATCCTATATATGTAAAAGTATATAGTATTTTCCAAATTGAAAATTATTTTGTAAAAGAATAACTATTAGACCTTAGTTGCTCTCTTCTTCTACCTGGCAATTTCCCAGGTTTACCCAGGGTCTGCTTTACAAGTAGTGAATAGTTTAGGCTAATTGTTTTTACGACCGGCCGCCTGCCTGACATCGACCCTCTTTGGGAATGCAGTAATCAGTGATGTCTAAATACTCTTAGAAAGTACGTATGACTCGGAAAAGTCACATTGGTACTTGCCAGGATCGAACCCGCGCCCTCATGCATGAGAGGCGGGCATTTTAACCACTAGGCCACCACTGACTATGACTGACTAGTTGCTCTCTATTTCACAATAAATAAGTTACAATATCACTGAAATACAACGTACAAGAGATTATTTATTAATTTTTTCGACGGTAATTTGAGTAGATATATTTCCTCTTCACCACAGTTTCGTCTCATAACGCCATAACGATATCAATTGATGACCCATACACCCAATCAACATTTTTAAATTCTTTACAAAACGCATACATTATTTTGTAACCATATACACTACCTTATTTCCTTCTTTGATTAAAAGTCAATGAATTAATGTAACATTTAATTAAAGACTGTTTGCCGCTAGAAACTTTTACTGCATAAGATGAATCAATAACTGCTTCAGATGATATTTATTTTGGCAATATATTTTGGATTTGGGAGATGTTCAAATGGAACCATGCTACATATCGTCGGGGATAGTGCAAATCCGCGTAACTAACATTGAATAATTCCGAGTATCTGTATTAGACGCAGATTATCAGAAGTAGATTTGAGTTGAAATATTTTCTGAATAAACAAATTTTAAGAATTTTTTTCACAATTGGTAATAAATTAAACCCTAAATAATTACTCATAAAAGAAATTACTTTAAGCGTCGTTAAATTCAGAAAATAATTTATTTCTTACACTTTCTGTATAACTGATTCGAAAGCTGATACGCGGAATTATCTGTTGCTACCTACGCGGATTTGCTTTATTCCTGACGATATAATGATAATTTGCTTAGAATTTAAGGTTCCGATTAGTAATATTTCAAATTTCCGCATAAACATTCTTTAGGATTCTTTATTTGTGATTCCAAAATTATCCGTTATACAACTCTTAAACTCTAGTATGCAGCAATAATTCTGGGTGTGGATCACCTTGATTTTAATTAAATAGCTGTCACTGCAAAATAAGATATCTCCTACTATGTATGTTAGGTCTTGAGGTTGTCTGAGCAATATGTGTTTTGTAAGTAACTAGTGCTGTATTTCAAGAGACATTTATTGCATTATATACGTAGTGTATTTGTGTTTTTATATAGTATTTTTTATTTTACTTCTAGAGTTACATAATATTTTTAACAACTACACTTTTATTTTTTTGTCTACACTGGCCTAGATGAGTAATGTTCTACTAACGAATTGAATTTTATATCTTTAGTGGTATCTTTCTTGTATTTCAATCATTTCTATTAAAATAAAACTTGTATCTTAATTTATTGCTGTCTGAAAACTTTAATTAACTGTTAGTAATTTTTATTCGAATCATCATCATCATGTATCTCAATTAAAACAAACATCAAAGCTGTATAAATTATTATACTTATAATAAAAAAAGAAAAACAAGAAAAAGTATTAAAAATTGAAATGTAAAAAATATATTTGAAAAACAACATAATCTACGAATTTAGTCTACATTCTACGCTTATAAAAAATAAGACTAAGATTAAAAAGAAAAGAATATTAATTTTATTTCTGTACACTAAAAACAGAAAAAACATAAGAATGTTTAAATTTAAAAAAAATGTATCTTTACTAGTGAGGTCATCATATTTACTTAGAATGAAAAATAAAATAATAGCGCTGTAAAACAGTCAGACGCAATTAAGTCACTTAAAATTACATAATAAATAATAGTGCTAGTAGTTCTATGACATTTTGATATTCATAATTGATTACCACTTTATTACACATTTCTGTTTATTTGGGGTTAAATTAACATCTGATTCGACTCAAAAGTGATTCAACAAGATCGTATAAATTATTTATTTGTGTACGATCTACCAAATATTTTAAAAGGAACTTGTAGTCATATATATTATATAATCTTTGAAATTTATGTTGTGACAGTCTTATATTAGTAATTATACAATTTCCTTTGGGAGTCATAACAAGCGGTCTTTCAAAATTTAAGTGTATATTTCCTTTATTATGAAAATTATTTATGTTTTCAGTGTATATAAATAACTTTAGCTAATTAGCATTACCTGGGCCGTTATTGCTAGTCATTTTCAAGATAAGATTAATAAAATATATTTTCAATGGTACATATTGAATATTTTTATTTCTATATTCCTAAGACATTTAAATGTCTGGCAAATTGAAAAGTATGGTAAGTAGAAAACAAGTCATAATAATTCCTTTTAATTTTTAATTACGTTTCATAACCCGCCCTTTTCTTGTATCAACAAGGTATTACAAATCTAATTATTAATTTATTTTCACTCAAGGAAAGAGCTAATATAGCTTTCTAGTATCAAGATTAAACAGTATCTAAATTTCATTGAGATGGGAACTAAAATAAATAAATAACACATCAGTAACAACAATAAAAAGAAATCATAAACTTTATTTACCTTTCATTTTATGTGTCGTGTTCTATACTGTGTGTGAGGTGGCTTTGAGGTTTACACAATGATTTAAAGAATATAAAACAGGGACAACTTTATTGAAAATATCACATATTAATCTCTTTTATTAGCAATAAAATGTAAAAAAAAATATTTAGTATCATTTACCCTTGGATAAGTTTTCGTGTTTACGGCTCATAAAAGACTTTTATTATTTATTTTTCTATTAGTATTAATCTACGACAAGAAATCAAATGCTTATCAGCTATATTACAAAAGAAGACAAG